AGCAATTTTGTTAAGGTTTTATTCATTAGAGGACATGCTTTTTGATTCTGTTACACACTTTTTTGTCAAGAGAGTGAATTTGCCTCGTATAAAAAAACTGTAGAGTGTGACTAACAAGGTGACATTATGTGGACATTTCTAATAGAAAATTAAATCAAGTGATTGAGCTAATACAGTCTTATCGATGAATTTGTTATCAAGTTGTACAATTGCATATACATTAGACGCTTTTTGAAACGCTAATATGAACCTTGACAAAGTAGTTGTGATTACAGTCACCAAACAACAAATAACCTCACGAATCATATAAATCTTTGGAATTAAAAATCCGAAGTGTGATAATGTCAGCACGTTTTTTAGGAGTTTCACTTGATGACTTATAGTGCAAACAATCAAAACAGGTCCATGCAAATGTTAAATTGTAAACCTCTCATTCACATCACCGTCAAGGTGGAACGAAAACACAAACTTGGTTTCAGATCCAGTTAATGATAATTACCGACCAATCAGCAAACTTTATTTAGACAACTGCTATGTCAAAAGTGGTGATAAAATGCTATTTCAAGGAGCCATCAGTATTCTAAGGAACTAAAAAATGAACAAACACGATTAAGGGGAACACATCATGCAACGTGTGTATACAAAACACTTACAATAAGGAGTTACAGAGTCAATGCTTTGATAATATATATCTGGAATGCATAATGCTAACTATAATTGTCCTAATATGACGTTTTCTTTTAGAATACGCCAATTCTCAAACAAAGTGCATTTTCATTGTTAATTATTTATATTAATCTCAGCGTGTTTAATAAAAACTAAAACAAGATTTCTCTGAACGTTTCGCTGTGTAAGCCACAGCATCTTCAGCAGATTTATTCGGATTTTATTAATCATGAAAATATATAGTCAAAAGACGTTCGTCATACGTACTGTCTGGAAACTTATAATGTACTTTTTCGTCAGCACAAGTAAACTATAGGGTAGCAGGGAACATAGGTGAAAAGAGCAACTTCCAACTTCGCCAAAGCCTTAACAGTCATGATGCAATAGATTGTGATTTTCTTCAGGTAAACAGAATTTTTTTTTAATTATTATATTTTTGATTCCATGCTGTATTTTTGGTACAAGTATGGAATTTTCAGCATGGATATCGCAGCTCAGATTTTGCAGGCCGACTATAGATATCAGGTGTGCATCTGCAGGGGATCAAACCTCGAACCATGTGCATGATCGGTGAGAGTCCTAAATACTGTGACACCGACGCATAGATGATAGACTTTTCATAACTAACTTCATAGGTCTGAAAAACCAGAACATGTAAGGCATACTGATCCACAAGACGTCCCACAAATCTAACAAGGAATCACAGAGAAGCATCTTCACAACACGCCGATCACATCTGAGGTTGAAAACAGCCATTGACGCTTCCTTGTGATAGGGATATACACTCATTTTTGTCAAAAATGCAGATAGAGATCAGTTTCTTGTGTTAAGATCATAAAAGAATGAACATGGTTGGTTCACTCTTAGACAGTAGTGCAGAATTGACAATGTTAGTGCATAACCAAAACATTACGTGACAAAGTGATAATTTCGGTAATTGAAATCGAGAAAGATTAAATTTTGTTAAATTAGTGAAAGGTGACAAAGGAACGAACATAGAAAGTGCACGGAATGTCAACCTACAAATGAGGTAGAATTAAAAAGTCTACAAAAAAGACTCGCTGTGACAATACATGCTGCAGTCAGCGTAAATAAGATTAATTCTGACAAATCTACTTCACTTCTAGGCTGACGTTCCGTGCACTGTCTATGTTCATTCATTCTGACGCTCACCTTCCATCTGCTGCCCCTTAAATTTGAAGAAGAGGCTTTACATTGACACTGAGAAAGGTTGACTTCTGAAGCCCTGTATATTTTAACCACATGGAATGCAGTAAATAAGAGTCAAGGGATAGACGCATCACCTATATGGCAGACCCTAATGAAGTTAAATAGATAAGGAGAAAAAATGCACTCCTGTATTCTGACCACTGTGAAATATTATCGTGTTTCTGGAATGTTTTCCACACAACCAGTCAAATGAATACGTATATATGACAATTTCACATAAGTCATTACAAATATGTAATGAATGTTAACACTCTTCTCCTGTTATAAATGTCTACTGACAAGTGACCATCAAAGAAACTGACTTCAATTTATGGAATTTTTTTGACTATATATATTGATGTTGGTTGTTGAAATTCAAATAATTCTGCTGAATGATCTTTGGCTTACACAGTGAAACTGTCTGAAAAATCTTGTCATGATTTTTCCTTAAATACGTTGTGATTAATTTAAATAATTTATAATAAAATACGAACCATTTAAATTTAGACCATTTTTTAAGCCATGATAAGAGTTTATCCACATCAGAATATTCTACTGATTAAACAATCGGGAAAGATCTTTTTATATCATCTGTGGATTCCATGAAATACGGCTTACAAGAATACATTGCGTCATTTCCGAGTAAACTAAACAGTAATGGAGAAAATACATAACCCTAAGTTAAATTAGCTTACGTAAGCAAACATGTGTCTTCTGTTCTGCTGAAATAATAGGAATATAGTCATGCAGTGAGTAAGAGCTCAAAGCGTTCGTAAGTCAGTTTCCTTCCTGAAAGTGCCCTCGTAATACTATACAAGATCAATGGTGTATTCTACAAAAAAATCAAAATCAAACAAACTTCATGCTTTTATCTAGACTGATAACAATATATGATGAGGAAGAAAGAAACCTGACACAAACTCTCGTTAATAACGGTTATCTAGACGAGTTTATCAGGAGACATAATGTGGTCAGAACACTAAGACCTGCTCTTCAACTCACCCCTAAGAAAAACGTGTACATCAAGCTACTTTATATGGAAGATTATAGTAGCTTGATAACTAGACACAGAAGGAACGCTGCTGCTGAAAAGACTTTCTATGCAGATATTATCATAGTTTTTGAGAATGTGAAGCTAATATACCCATCTAAGCCACTTGAACATGTAAATAATGGTGTCACATCTCCCTGTATACATCAATGAGAATGTACGCGTTGACACATATACATCAGGAAGACTCATCAATTCCTGCAAGTAGGGCTACAGAACATATTCCTAAACGGCTCCAGAAATAAATGTATTTCTCCGGACCTATTAATATTGAGAACAGACAACCCAGCTCCGGTGTTGCGAAATATATTGCAGAGGACTCAGAACATACAAATTATGTTTATACGTCTTTAAACCTATGTATAAAGCGCGTTTGGGGCATGTCCTCATATTTGTGGAAGCCTTAACAATTCGAAAATTCAAACCACCTTTATGCGCACAAAAAATACTTCGTCATCACACTAAAACCTCCTTGGGAAACTTTGTTTTGATACCATAGCAGATGTACTATTACCTCAGTTACTTGGCTTACTGATCATTGTTATTTTCAACTTCAGTATGCCTTTTTAACTTTTGTTGTTTTCTCACCTATTAACTCTATAATAATTTCATATATATTTCCATGACAAGCAGTTGGAGTGTGATCAGACTGTTCGAAATATATTGCACAAATACATTACACTATTCAGGCAAATAAGGTATTTTTATTCTTTATCTAAATTCATAAATAGAACTAATTGCTTAAACTATATATTCTCAGTTTTTGTTATGGAAGACTCCAGTTTACAGCCATAATCAATACGATAAATAACATATACATGGAGTAAGCGTATTTACCATCATTTGATGACAGAAGATATATGTAAGACAAGGCAAAAAGTACAATACTTAGCATCATCGTTTATATAACTCAACCGAAAGGTGCAACATAAGTAAAGGTTGAGTAACTGGTGATACGTATGATAGGTTGTTGATAAGGTGATAAAACTGTCTTGTGAATGTTGATCAGTTTACCGATAATAATATTTTAGCAACATTCCTGCTCGTGACTCATCACAGCAGTAAGTGTCTAATGAAACTTGGAAAAAACGTATTGTAATAGTAATAGGTAGTTTTCAGTCCATTGAAAACGATATAATACTGCAATGGACCTCAGCATCTAACATGCTCATACTTTTTTGATGTGGTTGTGTTCTTTGAGCTGGATAGTGAACTTACGAAGCTTACATCGCCCCACTAGGGGACATCTTCACCGCATATTTCAATTTGAAGTGAGCTTTTAGATTTCTTCATGAGTTTAATAATCATCTACGCCGGTGACCTTGAAAATAATTGGTTGTTTTTGTGTGCTTTCACACGTTCTAGGTCACTTGTGTTGGAACTGATTGTTTCTTTGACTTAAACTTAAACGACTGGGACAGAGTAAACACCAAGAATGCCAGAGAATTTTTAGAACCTTGGCATTCCAGTGAATAATCAATCAACAAACAAATATAGATAGACAAAATTTATCAACCCATAAGAAAGAAACCTCACACACAAAGGTCAAAGTTCAAGTCAAAGAAACAATCAATTCCAACACAAGTAGCTGCCTAGAAGGTGTGAAAACAAACAAAAACAAACAACCACGTCCAAGGTCACTGACCAGGAGAGATGACTAATAAACTCGTGGAGAAATCTAGAAGCTCACTTCAACAGATTGAAGTATGCGCTGAAGGTGTCGCTTAATAGGGTTATGAAAGCTTCGCAAATAAACTATCCAACTAGTGTTATCGAGCGCTTGTATCATAATTTATCGGGAGCTGTTTGACTCACATAATGTCATCTTAGCATTAGATGGAATGAGACGGGCTGGAAAACTACATTTAGAATCTTTAAGGTTCGAATCTGACACGAAGACATCTAGACTTATACACAACTACTCAGTGACACTCATAAGAAATTAAATAAGCAACGAATTGATTGGGTTCAACGTGAAAATAGTTTAACATATATGTGCAATATGTCCATACTATACATCTACTAACCGCCAATAAGCGTTCACCTTTCACAATTCAAAAACCCTTGTCAGCGATAGACAGTAAGATGTTTGGTTTAACTGTCAACATTCGAGCATATCAGTAGACAGATAACAGAATAAAAGAGAAGAGAGACCAAACTCACACAGTTGAGAAATCGAACAGATTGATAGAGATGCTGTCCTACACCTGGATTATAGTTACTATCGTCTTCATTCTTCTAATATTAATATATCAAGCAAGTAAGTTGAATTAACTGCGGTTTATTATTCATGGAAAATATTCACATTGCCACATTTTATGAGTGAAACTGGTGATTTAGTCAGAAGGCACATTCAGGCCTAATAAACAATAAGACGTCGGCCTATTCAGGTAGGCAGTTACCTGGGGTTCTAATGAGAACTCGTGACCAGTAAATTGCAGTAGGTCGGGTGTGAGGACAAATACTCGCCGAAGAAATTGGCTAGCGGTTGCGCTATATTGTGAATTGGCAGAAGTTAGAATTCATGGGCTAGCCATTAGATTGGGTCCCAATGGCCTAATGGTATACGAGCTCGCCATTTAACCAGAAGTTTTTGGGTTCAAATCTCGGGGGTGCGTACTGCTGAAAAGTCCCAAACTAGGACGAATGGACTGTCCAGTACTCTCAGGTTTTCCAGTGATTCTCTAACTGATGTCAGCTCATGATGAGATCAAATTACACAATGGTTATTCTCTGCAAAGTGAAATTTTCAGTCTGTAATCGAAATTGTCTAAAGATGTGAATAGTGAAACCAACGGAAAATACAATATCAAGCATAAATGTAGCGTAACTCGTGATGAGTGCATTTCTCATTTTGTGTAACTTATTTGAATTCCCTGCCTTATTACGCTCATATGTCGCTGATAGGCAAGTTGTATACAGGCTGATAATAGCAGAATCTTTTGTGTATCATAGCAATCTAAGCGTTTTCCCACATTTTTCTTTGTCTTAATCATTGCTACCGGAAAAAAGAAGGAAGAGACTACATTTTTCACTATTCATTAAAGGATCTAGTAATGCTAATGATTTTGTAGTTATCACCCTGGAAATCAACCTGGAAATGTCCCGATGGTGTATAATTGAACGTTATTCAGCTCACCTGATATTTTTAAAGTGTGACTGATTTTTTCCATGTCATCATTATTCAAACATCTAAAAGACTTGCAGTCACAGTTCGGTTTACACGAGTAAATTCACTTATACGATTAGGTGCCCTCAGATATCCTCGAAAGTGACGACTCAATATTTTCAAAGAAGTCGAAAATATTTCCAAAATCAGAGGGTAATAATTTTTACATGTTATTTATCATTCGTTAATTGTTCTATATACATTTTTTTATTTTGTGGAATGCGATGAATTAAATCACTCGATTTTATGATATTATATTTGTTTCAGTCAAACACTTCGGTGAGTTCTGCATTCTTCAATGGATTACTTCAAACCTCTCCTATCCTCAATTATGTTCACGTCACATACTGTATAATTTGAATGTCATATTTGAAAAGACTACGAGGTTGTATATGCTGTAATGTCAATGTATGGAGGTGGCTTTCAGAATTGCAACTCAGTGAATGAAGACCACCAATATACTAATCGAAACTTTTCAGCTGGCCTAGCAGCTTCAAACAGCTGCACACTACCATTTCAGTTAACACTGTCGTAGGTCTGTTGACAAACCAGGCCTCAATGACATCACTTTATTTACATTTACGAGGATGTGTCATTCATGACTGCAGTTATGAAGTTAAATATTTTGCTAATGAGATAAAAACGAACCAATTAAGAGAGTTATTTGCACATGAATATCTGTTGCCTAATGAGCTGAATTGTGTATATCACATAGTTATTGAAACTATTACGATGTAGGTTTATGTCATTTAACGTCTGATAGTAGAGGTAATAAGTTGTGGACTACAGGAGTGTTCTTTGTAAAACTATTTCGTATAATAAGATGAAGCATTTTCTGATAGACAGCGCTTAGACTGATTGATAATTACTATCCGTCTACTGTAGGATTAATCATCTCTAAATGTTTCGACTTGTAAGATGTCACACTAGTACTTTATAAGGCGGTTTTACGTCCACAATAGCGTCGTATACAAAGCACATGAATTAGAGAATGATTAATCACAATACAATTTGTACTTTCATACCACAGTGAATTAATCGAGCGCTAAGATATTTTTGGGACTACTCATTTTTTTCTTTCATTATCTTTTGAAGTTCGTAGAGATCCTCTCACGAGAATATATTGTTTGTATCGAATTATTGTTATTAGAAATATCGCTTACAGAATAGATAAACTAAAATCTCTGACTGCATCAACTCAAATAATTCATCTTTTTATTATGCTTTATGATGAAATAGGTTCGGTTGACAAGTGTGCTGGCTTAGGTAAGATAAATTCTTCATCACATCATGTTTACCTGTTTCTAATCTCATCAGGGATTGGAATATAATCTGACTGATAGCTTCAGTTGATGCATCTAATCGTCAGTCTTATGGTGACGATCACTCTGTTGATGATGAAATATTCTCACCAAGTAGGTTATCCAGGAGAATTTCGTTCGCGGTTACATTCGATATAATTTTTTTTGCGGCAACAGGAAATTTCTCATTGGCCATTCTTGATTGAAACTTTTTGTCACTTTCACAGTTCTCCTTGTACATGACTTCGAGGCAACTTGATAGGCCTATTTTAACCGGATCTGCAAAGTACCCTTCATAATTCAGACGACATCTGACAATTTATTCGCAGTGATATTTCATTAGGCAGTCGATCACTTTATATGTGAGAGACAAAGTGGTTACATGATCCACTCAGATATTCAGTTATTTTTAATCCGGCTGAATGTCGCAGTACTGAATGCCATCCTCAGTTTGCCTGAACACAAATCTTTGATAAACAGAGCTCACAATATGCAGCCTCATCACTCAAACTGACTAGGAATGTTTTTCCCCTTATAAATAACAGCAACTTTAATATTAGACAGATTGCTTTGGAAAATTTCACTTTTATTTGTTGCCTCTGACTAGCTTCACATTTATAAAGGCTTTATTTACTAGATGAAACAGTGATTAAAACTGATGGTTCCTAACAATGTCACATGTAACCGGGAGGTGGAGGAATCTTAAATGGTGTTATTTGTCTCAAAATAGAAAATTCAAAAAGTGAGGTAATGATTCTGAAGACACTGCCCAGCAAATGGTTCGGTGATTCAGCATTCGAGATATAACCTCCGATATTCTGTTTTCAAATTACAAACTGTCGGTCTTATCTTCTAGTTACATGATACGTTGAACACAACACAATGTAGTGATTAAACACTGACTCATTTCCTTGTCAATTTACGAAATAATTAAAAAACGTAAACAAAATGTTTCAATCAGGGCAAGACGTCGAAACACTTCGTAAGTTTATAAGTCATACATGCACAAATTCAAAAGAGTTAGATGATAAACAATTTTCGCAGTACAGACGATAACCGAATTTTACTTACAGATGTTCAGATCAATTTGAATTTCTGGAAACATTTTCAGCACTAAGCCTGGTTTAATCCTTCTAGAATTACCCAAAATATTTGAAATGCATCTTGAAATATTTTGAGTTTCTGTTGTATATAGAACTAAATATTCGGAGAAATTTCCATTCTCATTCTACGAACAGATTGAAAATAATTTGAAATAGCTTTGTAATCTTCCACATTCTGTTTTTCATAGGACTAGGCTTGATTCTCACTTTCTCATTCTTATACAGTTTCAAATAAGTTCGTTAACAAAAACGGGAGTTGTGCGTCGGTGGCACAGTGATTAAGACTCTTGCTGACCATGCACATGGTCCGAGGTTCGATTCCCCGCCGACTCACACCTGAAATCTATGGTCGGCCTGCAAATTTTGGGCTACCGATATCCATGCTAAAAATTCCATATTTGCACCAAAAATAGAGTATGGAATCAAGCTGTAATCAACAAAAAGAAAGTGGCTAGTAGCCACAATTGAATGAGTTATGACAGGAGGTTTCAGCAGAATGAATAAACTATGGCCTATCATTAAATGCCTGTCAAATAAAATAATACTCAAAAAAACTCTTAAATTTAGTTCAGCAAATAGACCATAGTAAGTTCAGTGTTATTGAATCCAGCAGTAGGTGCATCTCTCAAACAAGATTCTATTGCTGTAATCTGATCTGATATTTCTAAAGTTGAGAATAATCAGAAAAGATAATGGATAACAGTGGAATGAACTTTGGAGAATGCTGCGTTAAGCAGTGTGATACCAGAGGAGTTGCATTAAAACGAATCAGCTTGTAATGCGATCATGAAAGGATGCACTATTCACTTCTAAACCAACTTCTTATGAAATGTAAACAGTCTTTGTTGTCTTCTTCTTCACATCTCTATTATTTGGAATGGATTCATATTCACTTCCTCCTAGGTAGTACGGTTCCATTAAAATTTATTCTGGATCTTTGTGGATGATAGTGTCCTAACTGAAACTAAGACTCATAACACATAATTCCTCTAAAGGTTCTCACAAAATACTTGGTTCGTAAGAGATTGTACTTCAGAAGATTGAAAGATTTATCAGGTCAACAGGTATTTAGAAAATATCCCAAATAATTTCAATGAAAACTTTGTTGAAGAATTAAATTCCAGAAACACACTAATATAAATGTGAATATGACCATGTCTCCATTGGAGCTGAAAACATAAACGCAATACATCCCGTCATTTGTTAAGTAGCTATATTACAATAATAAATCATAGTAGCTTTGTGTTCTACAACTATAGTCTTTGTTTCATTTCAACAACATTTTCACTAGACCTTCCCAAATTGGATCACTTAAAACTGCCGATTAGTCATGAGGGTTGTTTTAGGCTATCGATGACTGTATTAATTCGTACCATACAAAATCGGCCGCATATTTCATTTTTTTAAGTATAACTTAACATAAAGCTTTCTCTCTCACATGACAACTGAACCTTTAAATATAGATCTATAGCAAAATATCTCAAATGAAGCAATTGTTTCAGCATGTGAAAAGGGTAAGTTTCCACCAGCACAGTTTGGGTTAATAGACGCATCATGATCGAAAGGTATTTCTTTCTGAGCCAGAGGACCTCAAAATTCGATTAAATCTGCTTCAGCGTGAAAATAATGATGAGCAAACATTTTTCATTACAGCGAGAATAAGGTGAAATATGTTTCGCTGAATTATTTGTGACTGAGATTCGAACATCTAGCAATTTGAAATTCATGTTAAAACAATCTCAGGTCATAACTCTGTGATGTTTTCTAATCACTGATCCATAATAGACCTATACTTTCATTGAATACTTCTTGAATTTCCACTGTTACATTTTCTTTGGGCACAAGTACACATTAAGATATTCAATTCCTGGTACTTGTGATTTAATTCGGCTTTATATATATCATCGAACGACAAAGATATGCAAGCACTTATGAAATCCCACTGTTCCGATTCATATATCAACATGAAAAATAGACATAAGACATAAGCAGGTCAGCAATAACTTATTATTAGATGATGCATTTAAAACCACTCCTTTTTATTAGTGAATTTGAGCTTTATTTTGTCATAATACAGATGCTCTATTTCATATCTAGCTTCATACTAAATCCATATTTAACAATAAATAAGGTATACTCACAACTGCCCGAAATAAAATCAAAATGACACTTTATACAAGGTAAAAAAATTGGTAAGTCGATGTCCATAATACTAAATAATATCAAATTTTGCATATTTTGAAGACTACAGTCGTATGGTTATTTTCTTTACTCTGTACTGACAAACAGATGAGTTAAGTGAGTTTAAAATGAATCTTACTCATTTGTTGCACACAAACGAATACTTGCAGGTAATAACGTTTCAGGACTTCGATTAGCGTACAGATTGCTGTTGGTTTGACAACCAGTAGTGTACATTGTGTTGTATTGATTTCTTTCTGTGTTTACTTGCGCAGAAATCTTCCACAATAACAGATATCTGAAAAAGTAAATGTGTATGAGAGTGCTGTTCATTTTTTTAACAGTAAAAGAAATACTGCATGCTTTATAAAGATCAATGGAGTAAGTGTTAATTAATGAAGATGACGCAACACTTTTCAATTGAGTAAAATGTCTATATTCATTATTGATTTTCACATAGAAAAAATTGTTGTTGACCACGAAACACTGAAGTAACCATACAGTAGTCTGTATAACCACAAGCTTAAACTCTGCTAGTTTTAAGTGGATTCATTAAGACAACGCATTTTATGAATCCTTGATATATTCAATACAACAGTGAAAGGTATTTATTTATCTATTTTCATTCACTGTTTCAATGTTTGATATTACTGAACATATACGCTACACAGAAAGTGACATATTCGTGCTTCATCTGAACAATACACTGACGACATGTACCATAAAATGTGTGCATTTTCCTGATTTTACTCACTCCTTAGCACAGATGGCATTGTGTTAGTGTTGTTAACAGTTTGGAAATCAATTTATCATATATGAGCTACAATATAACTATGTTGTCCTCTTATTGCAATCACTACTTGACAAGATATATTACCGGGTGACCACGAGTATTTCACGTTTTAGCATCACAATACATACAAAGATAAATAGCTAACTAATTATTGTGATATTAATCGGCAAAATATTTGATGCATTTTCTTTGAATAAAGTTACAGCATGTAAGTACTCATTTACTATAACGAACTAGAAAATGGAAATGAGACTCTCAGCTGTGTTATATATACATAACTAAGAATCAGCATATAAAATGAAATTCAGTCTAACACTCTTGAAATAATAACCATTAAGTGTCGACAAACCACAAAGTATCTCAAGAAAGGAACACTGTTTTTGGGCAGTTTTTCTATCGATTTTAGATCCGACATAGTTTGCAAATAAAAAGAAACCAAAGCCTGCTCAGTATGGAATATTTATTGTTTTTGCAAAACTTTGTCGTCACAATTCACCTGCAGTGATGCTCGAATATTCACTGCAACGATATTCTCACAGTATACATGTGCAACACTAACAGTTGTGCAGTATAATTATTTATTCTCCATCTAGTTAATCATGTACCCTTTCACATAAATTCCTTGTTGTTTTTTTCAGTAAACACCTCAATTAAGAATATTCACAAAAATATTACTGCATGTACGATACTTACATCCTAATTCAAAGCGAAGGTGTTTTATTGGTAATTCATGACGATGACCATACCATGTGACACAGATCCTAAATATTTAGACAATCGGCTTATTTACAATTGGTAATAAGTGTTAAAATGCGTGTTAATTTAGATCTGAGTGAAAACTGCCCTGACAAGCGTTTAACAAAGTGTTTTTGGTATTCTACCATATGGTTTCCTGTTATCCCTGTCAGTAGCCTCCATAGGTGATACAGCTTCAAGATGGAGTTAACTACTAAACGATTACGCAGAACAGCTGCTTTACCTTGGTTTAGGAGCCTCAATTTAACGCAGGTGTAAACTCATTATGCACCAAGTGCAAGAGATTCACAAACCCAACGCATGTAAATCAACTAACTATTAGTTTGATATTTAGGCAAGTGAAATCATGTGCTGTGTCACTTATCAAACTGGGTGTAGGAACAGATGGTCACTGACGACTTCAGATGATGACTGTTTTATATCATAAATCCACAAAAGCAATGAATCAGGGGTTGCTGGATTTCTGACGCTCGGTTGAAATGTCACATATTCCCTTCAAAACTCTAATTATTTTTTTGTAAGACGTCTCGAATGGGAGACAAAATGATACCAAGTGCCCCGTGATTTTAGGCAATCCTCCAAAACACGTGGAACTTGATCCCCAGACACCTAGAAAGTGCAGATCATCACCTTGTTTCCCCCAAGAGGAATGGGTGATTTTTAGACAACAAAGTGTGCATGATAACATGGTGAAATTTCACTTCGATGATGCCTGTAATCTGCACTCATCTTAATACGATTTTCTCACATTTACATGGGATATTGAAATAATGCATTAATCAGTGTTAGACATCTCTGTTCAATAGGGTTGTGTCAAGATCATGATGTATCAAGTTGCGTGCTACCATTGACGAAAAATGGTAATAAATTAGTTCACGATTATGAAAAGTTGTTAGGAATTATTTCTTGTCTCAAACAGAAACTTTCTGTTATAGGCATCGAATACCTTCGATGATTTACTGCTGACCACAACTTCTGCATTATTCATCTTAGGTGATTATAATAATTAAACATTTCAAACAAACTACATGTTATGGCTAGTTGAATGCCTCATGAAAACCTTGATTTACACAGAGTGAATTCAAAATCAGATTTTGTTACAGCTGTTCTGCTGACAGTTATTCACTGACGGAAACTTCATTGATCTAGTTGTCGCATCAGATGGTTTGCAAATTAAAGTTATAATTTACCTTTAAAAAAGTTTGTGGATTTCATGTACATTTATGAATGATATACAACAAATCTGTGTTTTCAATATCCACTAAGCACTGACTTTCTCCCTTAATAAATGCTAATAAAAACTCTACTCTATTTCTTACTTCAGTAACAGCCATCGGTAAGTGTTTTTCACAATAACAAATGTCTTGCTTTGGGTAAATAAATTCGCCTATATTTAAATAAAATAAAATCTAGCCCCAAGGTAGACCAAACGCTGCCTAACCGAATGCGAATCCCACATAGTCAATGAGGCGTTTATGAGTGTGACATAGATTTGCTTAACGTCTTCTGGCGAATGTTGTTAGCAACTTCTTCTGCTCTTAGTTAGTCACGAAAACGTTCTTGCTTTCAAGTTTGTTCAAAGAAAGACTGATATCAGTTAGAGATTTACTGAAAACCAAGTAATAATTGTGAGCTGTTTTGTTCCAGTGGTGTGACGCATCCACCTCTATTCTGACCGATTCCCTGAACGTTAGGAAGCAAACTCGTTAGCGATACAACCAGTGACACAAGACTCAATGAACAGCCCATGTATTCCAACTTCTACTGATTCGTGATTTTAGAGCGATCACTAGCCAATGTCACCCTCGATTGTTTGTTGTCATAAATAAATGAGTGGACCCAACTGGTCATGACTACTGACTACAAAATGAAATTTTCAGGAGTCCTGAGTGACAAGTAGTGGCCGGTGTGGGCTCTCGATCGACAGTAATGACAAATAATTTGGAATACAGACACCGATGGAGTTTGTCTGGATAGGTGGTAAAATCACAAATCGTTAGAATGTAGAATACGTGGGATGTTCATTGGTGGATGGATCCCACTGATGAGTTGCGAAATAAGATGAAACAGTAGTCAAGCACTCCTTGGTTTTCAATGTTTGTCTAACTGATATCAATCTTTCTTTGAACAAATCTCAAAGAAAAAAACGTTTTCTTGACTGATCAAGAGGAGAAGAACTTCGGCAAAACATTTTCCAGTGATCAAATAACAGAATGTAAATGAATAATAATATTTATAATAAGACATGAATATAATAATAGAGAGATATTGTGTAGTTAAACACTGAAACATTCTCAGTTACAGTGTATTCATCCGCATGAACAATAGAATAGCACTGATGATCATCTGAATAAGAATGAACTCTGGTCATCAGGACACCTCAAAATGACTCCAGTAGCAACAATCTGTATTAGGACAATTAAACTACAATCAAAGTTTAGATCATTTGCCTCTAAAGACAGCCACTATAGTAAATGGATTAAAATAAGACTTAAATAATGTTTCCTTTTACTTTAAACGAATGTTATGATTTTTGGTTTAACATTTATAGCGTATGAACGTATATTAAGGAAATTAGTTAAAACTGTATTTTTTCCATTTAAACGTTGACCTGACCTAACACTTCGAATAAATTATCATGAAGTCATCCATCATTTCATATTATAGCGCATAAAAAGCGTAAGTGATTTTAACAACTTGAAACAGTTCTATTGGAAAAATGAACTGAAATGCATGCGACAAATGTGGCTAGAGTGAAATAGAATATACTAAATGTCGAGCATTCTGTCATTCACTGAACTCGAACATATCTTAAGTCCAATGCATACGAATGTGTTATTTCATTAGATTAAGTATTCGTTTGCGAATTTCCACAATAAATCTATTTGCCTACTAATTAGTCACACAAATCTCTATTTTTCGATTGACGTTTCTACCAAAACGTGTTTTATGTACTTCGTAAAGTAATAATGAGATAGCTTGACACTCTGACGTCGACAGGTCTATCGTACATTGACAGGCTGGCGTATATTCATGGCATCACTTACATACACCTTTACACAACTGCAGTTTTGAACATATTAGTCGAGAAAACAATAATGAAAAGAAATATACTGCGGATTTACTATCTTTCCCCTTGGTACAACGAAGAATTCTAAATGCACAGGTCACCGCATAGTGTGACAACAAATACATAGTAGCTCCTTATGCATGCAGTAAGCTCCACATCTTATATAAATTTATCATATAAAACAGTTAAGTGAGTAGTAGGTAATTCAGTTCGTGGAAAATACCCATATGGACATTAGAAAGAAAATAACACGAAGTTCATAGACGATATCATTTCGGCGATTAGTCCAGCCTCTACAACTACCATGAAACTAGTTAGCTATGTTCTTTATGCTTCCGTTTTTTCTCCTCTTCGTACTTTTTCGTTCTCTCTTTTCCTTTTGAGCCTTTTTTCTTTCGCCGTGTGTCTGATCCTTATTCCCTCGGTCTTTAAATTCACCTGATTTTTTTCGGTTATAAAAACAGTTATTTTAAGTTTGTTTCCATGCTTTTCCTGTTCCCATTTATAATTCGTTTAAAATAACTATTTTACAATTATATCTTAATCCTGTGCAATTTTGTGTTTCTAAGGCTCTTGTATTTTATATATTCACACCTCGTAACTTTCATTTCGAGCTCAAATTGTTATATCAAATTTTCAGTTATACAATCAGTTATTTTAATTTTGTTTTCTATGCTCCTTGTGATCACACTTGTAATCCGTTTAGAATAATCATCTTACAGTTATATTCTAATCCTGTCTAATTTTTTTGTTTCTATACCTATTTTAACATATATTCACACCTCCTAACCTTAATTTCAAGTTGAACAATTTGATTTCAAATTGTTTCTATGCTCATTTTGTTCCCACCTGTAATGCGTTCTACCCCTGCGTCCCTAAGCCTCTTGTAATTCATATCAAGTTGAAAACAATTATCACCTTCTATTTGACTTAAAATTATTTCTCCAGTTATAAAATATTAATTTTTGCATACGTTGTAACTATTTTCTAATCCTATGCAATCTTGTCTCAGAGCCCCTTGTAATCTATATTCGTACCTTCAAACTGTCATATCAAGTTGAAAATTATTATCACCTTCGTCACTATGTGGAATTAAACAAATAATAATTGTATCCATGTAAACTAATCTATATAAATGCGATTGTACAGCTTTTGAGAATGAAATCGCCGAAAAGGCAGATATCTTTGCTGAACTTCGTGTTCTCTTCTTTCTATTAGGTAATTTACAAAAATTTTCTGAATTTAAGTACTCCAATAGGAATTATTCATGACATAATTGTCTAATTATTTTTATATATTTCCAGGATAAATGGTCGAAATTCCAGAAGAAAAACTCAGTTTTGATGTGTTCTACTTTTCGACATCACAAATGCATATGCAGGAAATAAACCAGTAAAATTGACAACATTTTTAAATTTGGAAACATGGTTATGTAACATATGTCATACAGATTGCATATTTTTGGTGTTCCGTGATGTTTGTTTCGAACTCATGTGCGTGTGATCTTAAAATAAATTTAAATGAGTGCCTTTGTGCCTTTTTGTGTCCTTTATTGGGTGCGAAGGCTTAGCTGTTTCTGATGGACAACTAATCAGGTGTATAAATGATTTTTATGTCTTTAAGACAAAAAACAGAGCACGTAGATCTGGTTTCACTACACTAGGGTTACTTTTCATTGAAGTTCTTAGGTAAACATTTCAACAGAGAAGCTAACTTAGGAACATGATGATAATATCGAGTGCTTCTATTGCGTAATAGGTAAAGCATACTGGAAGGTATATGTTCACTTATCGCAAACGTTAAAATCTCCATATCTTGATTTCTGACATTAGGGAAAAACTCAATACTTTTGTGCCTATCCAGACATCTTCTAGTATAATTCGACGAGTGTGACGAAAATACTCATTACCAATCTGAAACAACGGCAGTTGAATATAACTAATGTAACAGTCATGGAATTAGTCCTTTTCAGCATTCAACTATTTGTTAGATGATGGAGAATGAGTTTGAAACACAAGTGTTTGGCCTGCTGAAAGTAACATATAAAACCAGCAGGAATTTGATGCATCTATTTAGCATTCAGCCACGAGAATGTATTATTGAAGCTAATGAGATCAACAGCCCACAGTTCTTGCAACAGAAGATGTGTTTAATCGTGAAGATATATTTAGGAATTTACGCAGACTAACAGAAAACTAGCATATATCGTGCATTATCACAGTTCACTGAAAGCATATATGTTCATGCTGCACTACACGGATGTTCCATTTACTAATCGAATAACAGTCAGGTTATTTTGGATGTTAACTGTGCAGGAAATGTGACGTAATTCTAATAAGCGAGATGAAATATTTGCATTTCTACTTTCTACACTACCAGTGAACGTTTTCAGTTATTTAGCTACAGTATTTAAACTCAGCCAACGATGACTGTGAAATAAGGTCTTGAAATCTGTGTGGCGTACAATATAAACTTGAATTCCGTTCTTATATGTATAAAATTATAAAAGGAGTGTGTATTTATTGTTTATCACACTCGTGTTGACTTTGTCATTTAATCAATCAGTGCGTGTTGTAACCAGGTCAAATTATGTTTTAGTCCATCAATCCTATTCAGATAATTTGGATTCCATTCGATATAAAGTCCTTCTAACGATGTGAGACATTCTTTGTGATTTCTGAAATATTTCTAGATTATTTCACTATTGTCAAAATCTATTTCTTGGCCTGATTCTAAGGCGAATAGATGACTCAGGGATGAAGATTTTCCCCGTTTTTCTGGTTCGATTGGATTTCTCGGTGGTCAAACAGACGCTGTACGGCGTTCATCTCTTTTGATTACCCGGATTATTTCCTGGCAGTATTTGTCCGATGCATATTGCATCGCATTCCATGGATATTATTTTGTAGATACAATTGGATAGAGAATATTTAGCAATTGGGCCATTTATGCGGACAACGTTGCTTTGAAGTGTGTCTGGTGTTTTGAATAAAACACTGATGTTGTGCTTATGGAGTACTCTTCTGAGATATCACCTTGCGCCTCTGTTCTGTATGAAATGGCAACTGTTTAAGCCCATGTTGCTGAAATAGGTTTTCGACCATACTTAATGTCAGTGTTGATTTTGTCGATGAAATTTATTGGGTAGTTTTTTGCTTTCGAGTCTCTAAACTCATGTTTAACTGCCTAGCTGTCAAAAATGCACATAGAAATGGATTTATTGCGTTCAGAAGATAACAGAATTAATTTGGTCGGCACAGTCTGAGGTAGTAAGGCAGAATTATTAGTCTTAGTATGTAACTGATACATCAGGTGACAAGATGATAATTTTGACAATTTAGTATTAAGCAACACTAAACGGTGTTAAATATGTGAAAATGAACAAGGAAGATAATACCACTAAATGCTGTAGTTGAAAATAACAGTACCGATCCAAACATACGTGGATATATACACAGAATAGACAAAACAAAAGAATTAATATATGCGTAAAACGCGGGCACTGTGGTAGTAAGTAATTCCATATTAGTTTGCTTATGAGATATATCACACAGTGAAACAGTATTATTTACTGGATGACGCATCGAAATAAATTTATTGTTCATAATCATATCAATTGTAATCACACGACTTTGAAACTTGTGTTTTATCGTATACTTTGTTCTCTCCTATTTGTCGTCGTAGGGGTAGTAGAATTTTCCAGATATCAGGGGCAGGTGATGAATCATTCCTATTACATGTATTTGCAGTTGATTCGAAAAACAAAGCTTCTGTTATCTACCTCTCCCTATACCCTGTGACATTAGATTTTAAAACTTTCATTCTATTCCATCCTTTGTATGGTTGTGTGTAACTGCATGTAGTGCTATAGCTGAACTATTCTCTAGATTTCTTATCATTTCTGGGTCAACCAGTCTAAATTTTGCTAGATAAGAAATCTAGAAAATAGTTCAGCTATAGCACTACATGCAGTTACACACAACCATACAAAGGATGGGATAGAATGAAAGTTTTAAAATCTAATGTCACATGGTGGAGGGAGAGATTGATAACAGAAGCTTTGTTTATCGAATCAACTGTAAATACATGTAATAGGAATGATTCATCACCTGTCCCTGATATCTGGAAAATTCTACTGCCCCTACGACAAATAGGTGAAAAGAAAGAAAACTGTAAAACTCAAGTTTCGAAGTCGAGTGATTACAGTTGATATGATTATGAACAATAAATTTTATTCTAAACATCATCCAGTAAATAATACGTCTAAAAAATAAACTAATATGAAAAAACAAAAGAATAAACACGTGTACGATAAAAACGGCGACTGAAATCACTTGGATGAATCGAATTCGAAGCATTATAGAAGAATCCGCCGGGAACACATATTTTTAATAGAAAACTCCAGCTAATTCTTTTTCAATGGCTATCATTTCAGCAATACAAATGACTCGGACAAGTATTGATTTTCACCGCCGATGCTTGACGTCCCGAAGAAACCACCCCACATGAACCTTCAATTCAATGGAGATATATCTGCAGAAACACTAAAAAATCGTCTGTCGCGCTCATTCAAGAAGACCTTCTTCACAGCTGAACTACGACTAACTTTCTCCACAAAACCTATGATTCATGTGAACGTGAAGGATAAGTTACCACTGTTGGCCTCATCAGTGTGTATTTATCAACTCACCTGCTCATGTGGAGCCAGGTATGTCGGCGGTACCCAGCTTTCGCTTTCCAAGCGTATCACCGAACACTTACCAACATGGTTTTACAAAGGAGAAAAACGATGTCCCCGCAGCCCCATCTTAGAACATCTAATAAAATCCGGACACCAAGCTGCACCCCAAACAAACTCCAAAGTAGTCTACAGAGTAAAAAGTGGTCTTCCTAAAGGTGTACGAATCAGACTTCTTCAAAATGCAGAAGCAATGGCGATTCACTTGCTAAGCTCTGAACTCTGCATACAGAGGAAGTTCGTTCAATCACTACACTTACAATGGACTTAATCTATCTTATTACCCGACAAGTAAATTCCACCTAATCTTCTTTTTTCTGTCTCTCCATTAGTATTATTTTGTCTTCTCAATTGTAATATTTCACATTTTCAACTTTCTTGTTCTCTACCCCACCCAATGTGTTATATATTAATGTTTACTGATGACGTTTCGAGCACAATTTATTGCTCAAAATCTTATCAAAGTGGGCACCTTGATATAATGGAATTATACTCTACCACAGTGCACAAGTTTTATTCTTATACCTTTCTCTCATAACTGATTATTGTTCACAGCGATGCAACCGGATTGTGCTCTGCTACAATCCAAAGCGTTGGTGGCATAGCGGTTGAGACGCCTGTTAATCATGCACATGGTCCTGGGTTGGATCAACAGCCGACGCACTCCTTTACCTCGCTAAGCCAGAAATAATGCTGATACAGGGTAAGGTTGGGCATTAGGCTAGCAACCCTATCTTGTAAAATTAAACACTGCTACAGAAACTTCAAGCCACTAGCTGGAGGCCCCATGTTCCACTGAGAACATGAAGGGAAAAAATAATCCAGTTGTAAACCTTTCATAGAGCTTCTCTCTGTCTGATCTTGATTACCAAAAGTTCACTTTTATTTATTTTGTGATCGACGTTCTACTATTCACTAATCTGTCACATATCTCCCCTTATTTACTTCATTTTACATAATAACACCTATGTCAGTGTATGCAGGCTACCTAGATGCAGAGTTCTATTGAAATTCCATGAACTCTTTGAATCCTCCTTCAGTAATATTTTATTGGATGTGCTTGAAATTCCCTCTGAAACGAGAGTTATGAATCAGTTCGATTGCAATATCGATCATTGAGTGTAATGCTATGCCTGTTGATTTGCGTTAAATTTCTGTGAGCTGTTACAATTGACATAAGAGACAAAGACATCTAGTAAGAGTTTACAGTTTTCAGTTTAGGACATACCCGAATCGACAGGGAAGCAGAAAAATGATTTCGTCCAGCGCAAAACTGAGCTTAACACTCATGCAATATGTCCACACAAAATGTCTACTACTCATCAATAGTGATTGATTTTAAACTACGAAGAGATCACTCAACACACGAACACACACACAACAATAACACGCTCTGCATAAGTCTCAATGTTCAACTGTATCACGTGAAAACTAGGCATATAAATGAAGAGCAATTTCGTAAGTCCACAGTTTACAGCAAACACATTCAGATGGTAGCGACATCATACACCTGGATCATAGTTAAGGTACTCTTTATTCTATTGGTATTAATATATCAAGCTAGTGAGTTTCACTATGTGTCATTATTTCCATGTAATATATACTTATGATGTAGTCGAATAGCACATGCAGGTCATTTACACGAATATACGAATCTTTATTCATGTGAAAGCAAGTTATTCATGTGTAAGAGCTTGGGTTAGAGTGAGTTTTCATGAGGACGCCTTCAGTGAATATCATGTTAGTTCACAAGTACACGAGGCTTTTACGAGATGTGATTGCCTTGCTTCCAAACACTAGAGTATCTCAACTTACACTTCTCAAGTAACCAGGCAATTTATGAACTAATAAAAGCAAAACCTTTAATAAACATCGGCAAATACAAAATCTTTCCACATTCTACTTTG